CATGTATATGTGCTTTCTTGAGCAGGGGGACCTTGCGGGCGCTGCAGGATTTTAGTCCTTCACGGCGTAGTATGTTACCTATTGTTTTCTTGGTGACTATGGTCCCAGCTGCCTTGAGATCATTGACAAGATCCTCCCGTGTAGTTCTGGGCTGATTCCTCACCGTTCTCATGATCATTGCAACTCCACAAGGTGATATCTTGCATGGAGCCCCAGGCCGAGGGAGATTGACAGTTATTTTGTGTTTCTTCCATTTGTGAATAATCGCACCAACTGTTGTCACCTTCTCACCAAGCTGCTTGGCGATGGTCTTGTAGCCCATTCCAGCCTTGTGTAGGTCTACAATCTTGTCCCTGACATTCTTGGAGAGCTCTTTGGTCTTGGCCATGGTGGAGAGTTTGGAATCTGATTGATTGATTGCTTCTGTGGACAGGTGTCTTTTATACAGGTAACAAGTTGAGATTAGGAGCACTCCCTTTAAGAGTGTGCTTCTAATCTCAGCTCGTTACCTGTATAAAAGACACCTGGGAGCGAGAAATCTTTCTGATTGAGAGGGGGTCAAATACTTATTTCCCTCATTAAAATGCAAATCAATTTATAACGTTTTTGACATGCGTTTTTCTGGATTTTGTTGTTGTTATTCTGTCTCTCACTGTTCAAATAAACCTACCATTAAAATTATAGACTGGTCATTTCTTTGTCAGTGGGCAAATGTACAAAATCAGCAGGGGATCAAATACTTTTTTCCCTCACTGTATGTATTTGACACCAGGTAATTGGAGTAAGTATGTTTTATGTCTAGTGGTGTGTTTAGAATTCATAAAATGAAGTTCAGAGTCCACTCTGTGTTGCTGTAATTCATGTTTCTTTCCTCTATAAACATATTGAGCATCATTTCTTAAAGTATGGGACTTTATACTATGGTATGGGTTTACACTGCATTCTCATACATCGAGGCCATATATTTTGACAATATGGCCTCAGAGATACATTATGCAGTTGTACAATGTGTGACTGAAGGTGAAATGTGTCCCAAATACTTTAACCACCCCCCCCCCCCTCTCTCCTCCTCCTCCCCAATGCTTAATATGGTCATACAGTAGTTGTCATACCGGTATACCATATTTCGTTGCGCATGTAACATTTTACAATGTGCTTTGTCAATCAGTATTGTCAATACTGCAGAGTTTCCTCTGTTTTTCTTTTCTTTTACACAACTGTCTTGGTTGGAGCCAAAATGTTCAACGTATACAGACAACAAGGCTCTATGAAGACCCTTTAAGGTCAAAAGCCAAAGTATATGCGACAGTCTTATACAAAGCCGCTATTTTTCTAGTAGAAATAGTATCAAAAACTGATATTCTCATTAATTCCAGTCCAGAGGAAATACTGTTTCAAAGAAAGATGCATGAGGCAATTTTAGACATTTCATGGAATTGGCATCCAGTTCCCGCAAAAACATTACAGTGATAAATCCTAGCCTATATGAGCTAACTTATTTCTGGTCATGACATATCTATTGAATACACTAAAAACCTGCACTTGATGTCCTAAAATGCTTCATGTATCTAATTGCTGTACATGTTTTCTATGTCTATTTGATGTGTAAAGAAGTTCTGCTCTGAACTTGTGTATTTCTTTTTGTCATTTGTGTTTCTGTTTTGTATCATTTTGTCTTTAACGTTATTTTTGTTTTGTTCCTTACCCATGTTTACATCATTTAAAAAATGTTTTGTATTTCCCATGTGACCCCCCCCCCCCCCCCCCCCCCACTCCACTTTTCTTTCAACCAATCATGTGCGTGCGTATCATATGACTTTGTCATGTGGCTCTTGCATGGTGCTGATGATGTCGTCTTCACTGGTGAACAGAAGGTAATTTTTTGTTCTATTTGGTCCGATTCATATTATAGGGCAATAGATCAGCCATTGAACAGATTTTTACTTTTGGTCAACCTGCATTCTATCTACCTCATCTCATCTCCAACCATATTAACACAATTATATGTAGATGTGTGTGCTTACTTGGTATCCCACTAACAGAGGGTATAATTCAAAAAAAGAGAAGTGCAGAGGATATTTCCCTCATTGTCTTCTTAGAAGCTATAGCTAAGCCACATAATATATTAGATATGTTATATAGCTAGCTATCAGTGAGCGTTACATAATGTAGTTGGAAATAAGCAAAGGGTTGACCTCTAGCCGGATATTTTATATATATTTTTTTTGGTGCCTAAGGTGCCATTGCCACCTCCCATGGCTATCATATGCAAACAGAACATATATTTTTTAATGTACTTTTTTGTTGCCAAATCACATAATCTCAATCACAATAGCAGTGTTGAAACCATCACCTTTGGCAACTGCATCGCACGCTCATTGAATTGTATTGACCTTTTCAGACTGTCTCCCAGAATGCTTTTCTGAACCGACTAACAGTGGTATTCACTCCACATTACTGCATGCATGCATGTTCACTCCTCTTTCCTTCAACTCCTTCGTTTTCTTTACTGTCTCACCAGACAGAAAGTTCTGGCTTGTCTGCATGTCTGTCCTGTCTGTCTGTCGGTCTGTTTTTGTCTTCCAGAGTGCCTTTGTGTTATTCACATGTATTGATACTGACTGAAAAATGACAGTCCCATTCACAATTCATGAGTCCTTTAACCCATCTGGTGTGACAATAAACTTTCATTGCATTTGGGCACAGCAAACCAATAAGGTCATTGGTTCACACATGCAGGGATGTTTTTAAAGAGCTGAAAAAGTGAATAAGAATTAGGGTGATTCAGAACAGGAAGGTTTATTTACACAACATTTCCTTGATATCAATGTCAGTTCATGTCAGTTTGAGTAAAGGATCTGACACATCAAACATTTGTCTGATGTAACGTTCAGAAATTGATATGAAGTATACGTACACTACTGTGCAGACAAACTTAGAGTAATACTATCTGTACAATATTTACATCAGGTTTAACTAGATAAGAACACTTTTGGGGAGACCAATAGAAAGTTGAGTTATTGTTGCATCAGATGACAATGGGAACGATCATGGGACTGTCACAAATTGATGTATCAAAATATACCTGAATCACTACATATTGAATAAAAGCAGCATTTGCACGATAGAGCATGTTTTTGTTAATATCTCTAATTCACAGATAACCCTAATGGCTCTTCTTTCTTCTTAGCATTTGAAGATTCCTCACCTAACTGGGAATGATGCTCATGACTGGATAAACTATGAATATAACTCTCTGTACATGCCACTGTTTTGACTGGTTTTGGTTATCACTAACTCTGTTTATTTCAATTCCAGCATCAAATCATGCTTACTGCAATACTTTTGAGTCCAATGCATTTTGGAGGAGAATTTAATCAGATAATCACCTGAGATCAAGATCAAGTGCCTTCACGCATGTCTGATTGACTAATTGTGTAATCACCACTGAAATGAATGTTTGAAGTGTCATTAATTAACAAGATGCAACGTCAATTTAAATTTAGAATACAACCGTAAAAAATATACAACAGTTAAACTGCAGACATGTTCTTTTATACATTTTGTGAATTATTGAAGTTTGAGAAAATTAAAGACGGTACTCACTTTTTCAGGGCCAAGGTAGAGGATAAATAGGAGCAGACACTGGAAAATATTATCCAATCATAGGGTTCAATCAGGCTGAAGTCAGGGAGCTTTAGGCCAAGATCCACTGGATAGCGTGGGCAAAAGTGGAGCAGGTTTCATCTGTCTGTCTCTCACCCTATTATTTCTTATCGTTCTTATCTCATTTTGGCTGAAGTCAAAGGAGACGATGCAAACAGACTTCCAGGCTGGAGTATAGTTGTCCAACATTAATATTCCATGCTGCACTTCCATGGGTTTCGTTGAGAATGCCTGGCAGCATTGCTGTTGTCTGCTGCTCTTTCACTTCCCTCTGTGGGAATGACCCGCTCTCAGAGTTCATTGGTGGATAAATATCATCAGGGTGATCAAGGGGAACAATGTACCCAGTGTGACTGAAGGTCGGGGCGTCTGGCTGCAACATTTCAGAAGAAAACATAAAATCGGGACAGTAAATAATCTCCATTGATCTCAGCCAAAAACAAACAAATCAGTGTGCATTGCAGATGTGCTGCAGCAGCCATTTGAAACCTGATATCACCTTTGGGCAGTTAGTGATGGTGTGTAGTAGAATACTGGAGCTGTATGTAACATGCTGTGTTCTGCTAGTTATTTTAATAGCATATTCACACTGCTAACTGTGTGTAACCAATGTTCCCATGATTATTGAGTTATGGTGATTAGAGTCTCCTCCCTATACCCTCTGTGACTGAGGTGTCATGGCTGTAAATGTGAACGCTAACATCATTAGGCACACTCAAAAGGCAAACACACACACACTGTACACACGCTGGAACGCACCGACCCTCCCCTCCCAATGGACCATGATAATGTTATTAAATGTAATAGAGTAACATGTCCAATCAAGACGAGGAGGCTAATTAGCCTATTCCCTTTGTCTGCAGAAGAGGCCATGTAACGAGCTGCTCCTGAAGGATAATTATTATCTCCCCATTGGCTCCCTCCCTCACCCCACCGCCCACTGCCCTCACTGTCCCTCCATCATAAAACCGTCCTTGAGTCTATGAGGGGCAAGACTTAATTTTATCTTCTTGGAACGTCCTCTGCCACTGCCACCGTAAAAACAGTCAATTTGTTCTCCAGATGTACTACATTTAAAGCAGTACATACACAAAAACCAGAGGCAAGGGATTGAAATGAAGTGAGAATCCCACAGTGCCTTGGGCTTGTTAAGAATTATAATCCCACTCCTGAAGCGAGGGCAGACTGATGATGTAGGCTGGTTCTCCGACAATGGGAGTTAATGAGGGACAGCTGCATTCAGCCATGCCACCTAGGTTAAGGGCCCTGGGCAGGAGACTGAGCTGAGCATGTAGGCTGTTGCCATGGTAACTGACTGACCGCTGTGTCCCGTTATGGCCTGTGTAGGGGAGCCCAGTCCCCCTAAACTGGAGGGAAAGCTGCAGACCACGGGCAACGCCCTCAAGGTCAACTGGATCAAGCAGGACGATGGGGGCTCGCCCATCAAACACTACCTGATCAGATACAGGGCTGTGAGTATGACGGGGCAAGGAGGTGTAACACCGTATATACTGATTTGCTTCCTGGTTTCCCCCCAAGAGACACTATTAAGTGTTGGTTACATATCTTATGTATTGGTTACATATCTCCCCGGTTTTATCGTACTGTAATTATTTCAGTTTAGCAAAAAGCACATAGACTTACGGATATGTGAAAAACAGAGAAATGGATCACATGATTTGTAAAGATTAATGACAGATCACCATTGTGTTTTATGCCTAGATTGATAAATGGTTAGTGATTCACGTAGGAAGATGAATGGATGACCAAATAACAAGTGTGAATGCATGGAAATATTTACAGTGATATAAAGTGATGTGCAGTTTGCTGGAGTGCCATAGCCACGGATGTCTTTCCGAGTCATGTCTTTTGAGTGTCTCTCTTTTTGCGACCCAACCTAGAAGCACGTTCCGGACTGGAAGCCGGAGATCCGCCTGCCCCACGGCAGTGAGTACGTGGTGCTGAGCAGCCTAGACTGGAACACAGAGTATGAAGTCTACGTGGTGGCTGAGAACCAGCAGGGCAAGTCCCAGCCCGGCACCCTCTCCTTCAGAACCGCAGCAGAGCCCACCGCCATCCCAGGTAATTCCCACCCCCACCCCACCCCACCCCATCCTGCGCTGCAAGAACACACACACTTCCAACAGAGATACTGCCACCGTGACCCAATGTATACTGTGTTTACCCCTCCTTCACCCAAATTGACTTCTAGTCAGGTCTTGAGACTACACTTCACAGATGTAGATGCCCTGTTAGGGCAATTGATTGGTTTGAACATTTCTGCTGGATGATATTTTCATTCAAGATGTTCATCCCAAAAGAAGGTGGGAAAAAGGTCAAAGTTAGACAGACAAAAAACAGAGTAGCAAAGTCCTCTTCTGACTGTCAGGGCTACATTTTAGAAACACTTGCCCTCTGCAGTCCGCCTCAAAGCCTCAATTCCAGAGAGTTCGTCACACCGTTGCACAAATCTTTGGGGTGATAAGATAGACAGAATTGAACAAAGACTGGGGCAGTTTGTCTCACTGTTTGTGATGGAATAGTTTTGCCCACAGTGAGTCTTTGTTGCTGTAGAGTGAGATTGGTCATTTGGTCTCGGCCTATAACCTCTCTGGCTGACATTGATGCGCAAGTTCAGTGAGCAATAAAGTCAGGACAGATGATATCGGTCAGGCCTCAAACATTCGCTTTATGTCCATAGCAATGCCCCTACCCTGGTGGTCACGGTCAGCTGGTGCTCTGTTGACAGTGTCGTGGTTTGAATTTTAACTTGGGCTGCCTCCCCACTGACCAAACCTGAGCTTGGAACCTGTCCCTTACTATTTCTCTCTTTCTCATAAATCACTCCTTGCACTGAATCGTTCTCTCTTTCTCTATATGTTTTTGTCTCTTACTTTTCCACCCGATCTTCTGTCTTTTTCTTTTTCTCTTTCTTATGCCTCTATCAGTAGCTCAATGCATCTCTCACTTTCTCTACACCTACCTTTTTTTAGCTCTCTTTTTCCCTGTCTTCCATGCTTCCTCTCTCTTTCTCTTTCCATTTCTCTTCATGTCATGCACATTCTCTCTCTGGCTTTTTGATGTTTCAGTGAAAGAGCATCAAAAGTCAGTGTCACTCCCTCTCCTCTCTGTCTCTCTGTTTCTCTCCTTTCTCTCCCCTCCTCTTTCTCTATCTTTCTCTTCGAAAGCCAGGTTTAGTGGGTCTCAGTTCAGGCTCACTGCTGTATTTACTGACCTGAATATGTGCCTTGGCTTGGTGGGGATGCAGCCTCCAGTCTTGCATGGGGACGCGTCAACAGGATTAATGTCTTAATGCTTTACTGGAGACCTAACAGGCATCTGCCAGTGCATGACACAGGGACCTGCTTTTTCTCATCCACTTGGTGGGAACCAGCCATATAGCAGTGGGAGGTTTGGATCACTCATTATTCTGTCAGAGCAGATTCACGTGGACACCGTCCAAGTTCCCTTTTTTATTTACTGCTTTATATATATTTTTTAAATTGGTCCCTTTGCCGCGCTTAGCTATACACGTAGCAGTGCCAATGCCAGTGCCGGTAATTTTTATGCGAAGCATGTGGGTGTTTGAGGAAAAAAGAGGGGGTGTATTTTTAGGCTAAACATCTGCACCGACTTAAGGTCCACAGCTGTTCTTAGTAAAGATGGCCGAAAACAGGGTCGTTCCATGAAATAGGAGCCTTTTGGACATGCAAACCTTTAAGAAATTAACTTTAGAATATCTCTTCTTTCAACATTCAATTGCATGGAGGATATGTTTAGCCTACAGAAAAAAAAACATTTTACCATCTCAGGCATTGAAATCCTATGAACTAAGAGCATTTTATCTACACTTGTACCACACTGACCATGTTTACATGCGCACAATATTCTGGATAGTAACTCATATCCCGCTTAAGGTGTTATTCGGGATAAGCTGTTGACATGCACCTTTGATATCCCGCTCATGAGTATCCCTGTATCCATGAATAAACAGAATATTCCTAATTTAAATTCATATGGGTTAAATGGAATAGTAACTCAAATCTGGACACTGATTGTAGGCCTATAAGTTTTCACATGTAGCCTAATATAAAATGAACTCCTGCAGAATTATGCATTTCTTGAAGTAAAATGATATAACAAATGTTAATTTTGTCTCGGGAACAGAAGTATGATTTCTGTCTTTCAGCATCTCTTGAGAAAATGTGAATGTGTGTGTAACGAGTTAGCTTTGACACTGTTATGCAAGTGGACAGTGTTTCAACCACATAAAATATGCACCCAAGACAAACTGAAGTCTTATCAGAAACATATTTCATCGTTTTTATCAGCTTTTCATTTCCTTAAAACCGGTCAAACGGATGACATTTGGAGATTTTGCACCGGAACCATCTTTCCACTGTTTTGGAATTATTGTGTTTTCTCCCCGGTCCCTAAACGAAACTGATAACTAGATTACGAATGCATTCATTCTATCGATGTAAGACATTATTCTTGTGAGAACTACTTAATTTAGTTTTCTAGGCCAGGGCAACAAGAGAAGCTGCATGTATCTAACTATAGTTGACAAACAAATTGTCATGAGCCTCTCACTCCACCGGGTTACCACCTTAATTTTCTTCCACTCTGCTCACCACTCTCTCTACTCAGCCTAACTAGCTCCACCTGTCCCTGCTCTGCTCTGCTCTAATTACTCTGCCAGCTGCGCTGCATTACCCACTACCTCTCCCAGTATTTAAAGCCCTGTCTTTCAGCTCTCCTTTGTCAGATCGTCTGCAAAGCTCACACCCGGAACCTGTTTGCTCGCGCTTCTGGCTCACCCTGGATTTGTGTTCCCGGACCTGCCTGATGTTTGGATACTCTTCTGCCCCAGGAGATCCAGACCTGCTTTTTGCCATAACGACTCCTGACTACTCTTCGATCCCGGTAACTCTGACCAGCCTTCTGCCTTGCTACTACGTATTTGGATTTCCCTTGAACTGTACTGCTGCCTTGTTTCATCCGCCCTGTTGTGTCTGTGTCTTCCCCCCCCCCAGGACTTCTGGACCACCCACCACCGGCTTCATAGGACGCATCGCTGCCACTGGGGGGGGGCACAGACCCAGCACATTGGACGGGATCCCTGTTACCCCTGGAGCCTTCACTCACTCCCTACTTCCCTTTTCCCTTAAGTTTTAATAAACTTTCTGGTGTGACGCAATTGTGGTCCTCTGGTCGTCTGTCTGAACCGTGACAGTACGATCTGACCATTATGGACTCAGCGCACACTTCCCCCGACATGGAAACCGACGAGCATGAGCAGCAGTTCCAGCAGCAGCAACAACAACTCGCCATGATCATTCAACTCCTCACCAACCTTACCCCAGCCAGTCTGCCCACCAGCCCTGCCCCCGAGTTACCTGCCCCGGTCATTGCAGCCGCTGCTCCGGAACCCAAGATTGGAAACCCCGAGCGGTTCAACGGCGATTCAACCCAGGTCCGGCCATTCCTGACTAGCTGCCGACTTCAGTTCTCCTTGCAGCCAAGGACCTTCGCCACGGAGGGGGCTAAAGTTGGGTATGCCATCACTCACCTGACGGGCCGAGCTCGACTCTGGGGAACAGCAGAGTTCGAACGTCAAACCCCCGCATGTGCAACCTTCGACCTGTTTGCTGAGGAGATGCTGAAGGTGTTTGACCTGGATTCACCAACCGCAGAGGCGTCTCGTGAACTGTTCAGTATTCGACAAGGCAGACGTACAGTCGCAGACCATTCCATCGACTTCCGAACCCTGGCTAGACGAAGTTCTTGGAACACACCATCGTTGGTGGACGCGTTCTTCCATAGTTTGGCTGACTATATCAAGGACGAGTTGGTCTCCCATGAACTGCCTTCCACTCTTGATGAAGCCATCGCACTGACTGTCAGGATCGACAGAAGGATACAGACCCGTCGTCGTGAGAGGGGGCGCCAAGGTCCACCTACTACCGGCATTCGGAGAGATCCGACTGGGCTCCTGTCATCTACTGCCACTCACCCAGGTCAGCTTGATCAGTCTGAGCCTATGGAGATTGGGCGAGCCTCTCTCACTCCTGCAGAGCGCCAGCGCCGCTTCACCTCAAACCTCTGCCTCTATTGTGGAGGTGATGGACATCGTGTGGTAACCTGCCCTTTAAAGGGCCGAAGCTCACCGGGCATAGGGGGAGTCCGGTTGAGTTCAATGACCATCCAGTCCTCCGACCGCAAACCCCTGCTGCAAGTTCACCTCCGCCTCTCTGACTCAACTCACACCCTGGCTGCTCTGGTGGATTCTGGCGCCGAAGCCAACATAATGGACATCAAGCTGGCACGCCAACTGGGACTGGAGAACCTCCGTTTGACACCTCCTATTCCTGCCCGGGCACTGGACGGACACTTACTCGGATCGGTCACTCATGTCACGGCCCCGGTCTCGATGGGTCTGTCCGGAAACCATCAAGAAACTATCCAGTTTCACCTGCTCCCCTCTCCAGGCCAACCCCTCATCCTGGGTTACCCATGGCTCCGCCGGCACAACCCTCAGCTCGACTGGGTGACCGGGGTGATCAGGGAGTGGGGAGAGGACTGCCACCGAACCTGCCTGCTTGCTGCCGCACTACCCCCTCGGCCAGTACCTACTAACTCCGCTCCTGACCTCTCCAATGTCCCAGAATGCTACCATGGTCTCAGAGAAGTGTTTAACAAAGCAAGAGCCACATCTCTGCCCCCTCACCGACCGTACGACTGTGCCATCGACCTCCTCCCTGGAACAGCCCCTCCAAAGGGCCGTCTTTATTCGTTGTCTGCTCCTGAAAGAAAGTCCATGGAGGACTACATCAATGGCTCTCTGTCCGCAGGATTAATCCGTTCATCTTCATCTCCTGCTGGTGCTGGCTTCTTCTTTGTGGGGAAGAAGGACGGATCTCTTCGCCCCTGCATCGACTACAGGGGACTCAACGACATCACAGTGAAAAAACCGTTACCCTCTGCCTCTGCTCACCTCTGCTTTTGAGTTGCTCCAGGGAGCCACTGTTTTTACCAAGTTGGATCTCAGAAACGCTTACCACCTAGTGCGGATCCGGGA